AGCTGCCCCAACCGCTAATTAAGAAAATTAACTTGTTGTGGACAAACACTTTCAAAAATGACAAGAGGAAGGTCAAAACAAGAGGCAACTACTAATGTACTAACCTTGACTTCTGATTTCTTCACCGTCTTGATCATAAATCTATCATCTTGAGTTAGGTAAAAAAAGCTTCCACTCTTTCCAGGTGAAGATAGTTCCCTAAGAGCATCATTTCCACAAATAGCTAGCATATACTCAGCTGGATCCACTTGGAAAAGCTCCCTGAGACGTCTACAAACAAAATTGCCCAAAAAGAAACACAACTCAACACATAATCTTATCAACTAAAACCAGATTTGGGTATAGACACATCACCAAACCTTAACACAATTCAACAACTTGCTAAATCTGCTAAATTAAACCTTTCTTGATAGTTATTGATACCTGAACACCAAAGGGCAATAATCCTTCCACCGGAAATCAATTGACTGATGAGGCGGTGTAGTCTTAGTACCTTCCGGTGGAAACCTTGTCCAAAACTTCTCCTTTGGATCGAAATCAGTCTGTTTAAGATCTCGAACAATCGAAGCATGTTTGCCAACAGAATACCTATTTCAACAATCACAACCTTCATAAGAACACAACATAGAAGCAAGCCATAACAAAAACCAAATCCATCGAATTCGAGAAAATCCTTTACCTGATTCCTAACTGCAAATTCAGCATCAAATCGTACTTCTTATGCCCTTTCGATATAGTTTCTCCAGGTTTCTTTGCTTCACCATTAAACCAACAAGGATTCTTCTTAAACTGACGAAACCCATCACGTTCCACAGAGATCCTATCTCTATAAATCATCGATGCTTCAACATTATCAATAATATCACAAGTGATATCTCCAGCTTCTCCATCAGATTCCCATATACAGATTCTCGGGAAAATCTTCTCTCCTCCTAAACTTCCACCTCCACTATCAACAGAAGATCTCTTCCTAGTCGTAGCTACAACCAAATCATTCTTCTCAATCCCATTAAAGAAACTCCTCATAATATTACTCTCATTCCAAGCTCCAACACAAGAACTACCATCACTCCAAGTGAAAACTCCATTCCCTTTAGGTATTCCATTTTCCCATTGACCTTCGTATCGATTCCCATTAGCCCAAACAAGCAAACCTTTCCCTGAAATCACACCGTTACGCCATTCTCCGGTATACTGATTCCCATTCCTCCACACATACCTACCTCTACCATCTTGTAGATTCCTTCTCCAAGTACCTTCGTAGAAATCTCCGTTCGCGTAACGCTTTTGTCCGTGTCCGTGTTTCCGATCACCGACCCATGTTCCTCTGTAAGTATCTCCGTCGGCTCCGGTGAAAGTACCGAATCCTTCCATTCTACCGGATTTGAATTCGCCTTCGTAAGTAGCTCCGCTTGGCCATGAGAATTTCCCTTTACCTGAAGCTTTACCTCGTTTCCAATCGCCTTCGTACATGCACCCATCTTTCCATAGATACTTACCGGATCCGTGAGGAAACCCGCCGGAGAAGCTCCCTATGTAGAGATCTCCGTTCGGAAGCGGCTTCTCAACATCCAAAATCGGCGTTGGAGTCACGCGCCTTGTGGTTCCTTGAGATCGAGATCTCACCATTGGATATACCAAATCGTCTCTTCACTCTCTCTTTTCAACGACGCTGCTTCAAGACACTTCAATAG